GTTTTGGACGTGGATGTGGGGCCCGTCTTGGAGGCGAATTTGGAACCTGCCTTGGGAACGGATGTAGGTCCCACCTGAGAGGCCACCTTAGAGGCCGAACTGGTTTTGGATTTGGCCTTTGGGGAGGCCCGGGCATGCTTGTGAGGACGGGGGGATCCTGTGCTAGGAGCAGGAGATGCACTACGCGGGCGTTTCGCAACTGACGGATCCGCCTCACTTACAGACGGAAGAGGAGCAGAGGCGCTGGCAGCACGAGAGGGTCCCGACAAGGGAGGGAGGGGATCCGACACTGCAGCTGTCACCAGCGCCAGTCGTCAACGTGCTAAATCCCGTTCCGATAAGCCACGATCGCGCTCCAGGACCAGCTGTTGCTGCTGAGTTTGGGCTGCGGCGAGGTGATCCTGGCGTTTCGCGGTGGTCGCATCGGCTTCCTTCAATTTGTCACCTGGATTGACAATAACAAGTGAATATGGAGTTACTAGCAAGGGCTAAAAGAGGATCCACGTACTCGTGCGGCGAAGCTTGGATTCTAGCTCCGTTTGCGTACGCTTGGCATCCGCCCACTCGGTAGCCGCCTTGTCCCGCTGGAGTTCGCTGTCCGCCAGCTTCGCTTGGATCTCGTCGCGTAATTAAGTTATACGCACGAACTCCTCGAGCACTTACTCTCGTCCGGCAGACGCTTTCTCGAGCGACTCCTTGGTATCCTGCAACTCCTCAGCAAGCTGCACCAGAGCTACATCCGGCGACGAGGGAGGTGGATTTGGCGCGGGAGATCCTCCACGCGCCGACCCTAAGGTGGATCCGCCATGGGTGGATCCCACATAGTCGTTGGTCACCACCTCCTCTTGGGTCAGACGCAACTCGTCACGGAGTCGGTCCAAGCTCTCGTCCGTGGCGGCCGTAGCAGTCTGAGAATCCTCCAGATCCCGCTCGAGGGCGTGGATCCGGGATTGGAGCCGGTGGATCTCAGATCCGGCGAGCGTCATCTCCCTAAGGAGGTGGTCATTGTCGTCCCGCATGCTATCTCGTTGACGGGAGGCGTGATCCAGCCGTCCGGTCAGGTCGCGGATCTCGACCGCCTGATCAGCCACCAAGAGTCGTAGGTCCTGCGACCGAGAGGCCGCACGGTGCTCCCACCCCTGGATCTCCATAGCTTGGTCATGGACCTTGGCTCGCAAGGTTTGAAGTTGGGTGGCGTGCAAAGACGCAGCTTGGCCTTGGGCATCTTGAGCCGTCTGGAGCTCCGCCGTCAAGGTTTGCACCTGATCGGAAAGAGCCTGGGCTAGAACCCGCAGATCGGTGGGCGACATTGAAGACGGAATGACCGGAGGGGTGGCGGATGGGGCCTTGCCCGACGATTTGCCAGTACGCTTGGCAGGAGACATGTGTCACGAAGAGGAGAAAGCGGTTGTGGATGTTGGTAGTGCACGTCGTGGACGCTGTTGTGCAGCGCCGACCACGTACAGGAGGCGATTGTGGTGAAGTGCTTTTTCAGAAATAAGAGAATGGGCCTGACGCGGGGTCACTATCCCGAATCAGTGACAATTTCAATTGTTTGGCACGGATGCAAGCTGCCTGTGGTGGATTAGCCATGACGAGCGGCACCCCGTATGGAATGACGATGGATCTGGTATGAGCGATGTACGGGAAGGCAAGATCCACCAAGACTTATCTCGGATCCACCCTTACCTGGATTCACTTAGGTGGATATGGGATATACTATGTACCAGTGGATCGAGTGTGGATCCTATGAAGGAATGGTGGTAGGTGCCATCCGAAGGTGGATCTAGTAGCCACGGCTAACGAGAAGTCAGGATCCACCGCGAGGTACCCCGGATCCCATACTTCCGGGTTCGGATCCAAGGAGGGAGGATCCCGCATAGAAGGATCTGGATCCAAGGTACAGGGATGAGGGATGCAGTGGATCTGGAACTTTCGCGGGACAATGGAGGTCACAGACGATTGCAAGATGATGTTGGACGATTAGAGAGCACGGATCCACGGCGAGTGTACAATTACAGTGAAGTGGATCCAAGCGACCTGGATCCGGATGAGTGTACCCATAATAGGGTGACCATGATGATTACGTCATGGATCCGGTGGATCTGAAGATAATACAGCTGGGATGATGGGTCAAGGGAAGAAGGGACATGCAGCCGAGCCTGGTAAGGGATTTAGCAGGTGAAAGACATAGAAGGTAGAAATCCAGGCAGGTATAGGCTTAAATATCAATACAGAACCTCATTTGCACCATAACACGCAAGTGCCTTCCTGCCCTCAAGAGCCGGAACTACATTGGCCGTACGAGCTAGGAGAAGGTTGGGAATCGCGAATCTAGTGTTGGTAGTGATAACTGGATAATACATTGGCCAGATCCTACAACCTAGTGAGCTTTTCCTTTACTTGTGCAGATCCGACAGGTTAACCGAATTTACTACTTGGTCGGTTACACCCTAGATGTTCTCAACTCTCAAGATCCCGTCACAGGAGGCGGCAAGTACGACGCAAAGGAGCTACTAAGGCAAGGGAACGCACCCGCAAGGCAACCCTACGGCCAGATCCACGATCTAGGCCCCGGATCCATAAGCTCGAATATTCGCTTAGGATTCGGAACCATCCACCGACGCAGAGTGAAGATTTTCCACTGCTGCTCCACCCCATCCCCACGTCTCGCCAAGACACTCAAGCTTCACCACTTGAACTCTTCGGAAGTTACCGAGAGAGCAAGATTTCGCCCTACCGACGGGTACACAAGGTGAGAAAAGCTCAGCAGATCACGGATCATCGGGGAACCCCCTCCGTTAGTCGGTGTCTGGGCGCAGTTGGTAAGTTGGATCTGGCAATCTCGCAGATTTTGCTGATACCGCTACACCACAACGGCCTTGAGCTCTGGCGGGGGTTCCTCCTTCGTGCCTTTAGTACGCACGAATTTGACAAGGTCTTGGAAGTTGCGGAAAAGTTCGCTTTGTCCAGCATCGTGGAGCGGCTTGTAGAACTTGCATCGCTTGTTACAGTAGTGGGCGGAGTGACTCATGCCACCGCACGCCGCGCATGGTCCGTACTGTGGGCGTCTGTTGTCGCGGTTGAAGTCGCGGCGACCGCGTTGGTCCTGATTGAACCCACGGTCACTATCTCGGCGATCGTGATTGAAGCTGTTCTCGCGATTAGGCGTACTTCCACGCGTCTGACGGTTGTCTGAACGTGCGTAGGTGCCTTCAGCGACTGCACGGCGCTCATTTTCGTTTGCCGCGGCAAAATATCGGTCATTTTCATCCAATGAGA